CGCCGCCGCTGCTGCTGCTGCTTTGTCCTAAATACCGCCCATGCAAATCGCTGCATGCTGCTGATACTTGGGAAATAAAAAAAGGCCCACTGTCTGCAGAGCATGCAGGTATGCCACTCAAGGCCTTCTACACTGCTATTCAGTTTTTGCCTGTCATCTCTTGAAGCTGCTCGCAGGACCAATCACTTGCGGGAGGGCTGGGTGGGGCAGATTGCCTGGCAGGGGCGGATGGCGAGGGCGAGGTTTCCAGATCAGTTCGACACACTTTGACACCTAAATGTGCCAGAATCGATAATCGGGGCCGAGCGGGATGATAGAGGTGCAATGCATTTTTTCGAATTCCCGAAAGCGCCGCCAAGGTTTCCTCGTCAAAAAAGGTTGCCTTGCACACCGCAGCACCTACACCGCGCACATACACCACACCACAGCACATACCTATACAGCTCACCCGCACCACACTACAGCAACACCACAGCAGAAACCTACAGCGCCCACCTACATCACACCACTGCACCTACACCGCTGACAGACACCACGTACACGCTTCTATTCTGCTTTCTCTTATTTCTTAGGCTCAGGTAGGTTTGCCGGGGGTAGGCGGGATGCACCCCTGTGCAGGTTTCGTGCGCGTCGGAGCGCTCTCGATGTGGCGCTGTGCGACTTTTCGGTTGTCCTCGCTAACCCTCTGCGGGGATCGTGGGTGTCGAAACAGTTGAGAACGTCGTTCGCTCACCCTCTACAGGGATCGTGCGTGTCGAAACGATCTCGCAGTGGCGCCGTGCGAATTTTCAACGTAGCCGGCGAACCCTCGGCGGGTTTCGTGCGCGTCCAAACGCTCTTGCTGCGGCGCCGTGCGCATTTTCAGCGTCACCGACCAACCCTCTCGCTGTTTTCGGCGCTGGCACTAGTAGTCTGTTTGGAATCGACGACCTTCCCGCTGCTTTGGGCGCGCGGCTGCGCTGGCGCGTGGAGCATCCTCAGAATTCCCTTTGGAATCGATGACTTTCTCGCTGTTTTGGGCAGCTGACAGTTCTGGTGCGTGGAGCGTCCTGAGAATTCTGGTTGGAATCGACGGCCGTCTCGCAAGCGCTGGCGCGTGGAGCATTCTCAGAATTCTGTTTGTCATCGACGACCCTCTCGCAGCTTTGGGTGTGTGGCAGTGCTGGCGCGTGGCGCGTCCTGAGAAGTCTGTTTGGAATCGACGACCCTGTCGCTGTGTTGGGCAGGTGGCAGCACTGGTGCGTGGAGTGTCCTGAGAATTCTGTTTGGAATCGGCGACCCTCTCGATCCCTCTCGCTGTTTTCGGCGGGTGGAAGCGCTGGTGCGCATTTTCCCGAAAGCGCCGCGAGGAGTTCTTGGTCACAACAACCTTGCCCACCGAACACCAGGGCACCTGCACCACTCACATATAGGACGCCTGTAGCAACTGCACCGCGCCAGTACACCACGGCGCCTACACTGCCCACCACAGCACCTACATGGCTCACATACACCAAGACACCACAGAACCTACGCCGCACCACGACCGCAGCACCAGATGCGCGTCACTTGCTAACACTGAACTGATTGCTTTCGGTAGTTAACAGGTCTGTTTGTTCCAGACGCCTTTCGGCCGCAGGCCTAGGCGAATTGAATTGAACCATCGTTCATTTGCACGATGCATTCCCGTGGTTCCAACTGAGTCAACTTCCCTGGGCAATCAACCACATCAACCAATGCTTCTCAGCTGGCATGATCTCAGATTTGTCGAACTGGCATTGCCCAGAGCAGCACCTGTTGCCATCGGCAACTTTGGCAGGGAACCTACAAGGGATCGATTCTCCAATGCCTGCCTCATTTTTTTCGGGATGCAAGAATCGGACGTTAGCTCCAACACTGCGAGGCACTCGATTCAACTTCGAGCACTTCTTCGCTGAAAGAGCAAAGGCAAGATGGTGTGACTTTGCCCTCATGTACATATCCCAGTGCAAAGTGTGCTGGGATGTTTGTTGCCTCTTTACTGAGGCAGTCCTCTCAATACATGACCTCACGATTTGGCTGTCAGCAGTACATCAAGAAGCCGAGACAGTCTTCTTGCTGGATCTTGCTAGCGTAATTGAATCTCGGGAGGGTCCACAGAAGGAACAAGAGCATACGCGCGGGCAGCAAGCAGCTGCAGTTACGGCAGCCTATGTTAGTTGCAGCAAAACCCAAAAATTGCGTAAGCAGCCTGCATGTTTGGCGTCAGAGCAGGTGGTACTCGAACGTGGAGGTTTGCTGCAACCAGTGCAGCTCTCGTGCCCCGGGGAAAATTCACAAACGAATTTGGGGCCAGGCCAATTCATGCCCTCGTTGCATCGTATTTCCAAAGCCGCGGCAAGCGACATCTTGCCACACTCATCCCGGATCAGGTATCCGCCTATCTTCAGTCCCAGGGGCATATGTTCTTTCGAAGACAGCGATGGTACAACGCAGAAGATTGGGCCTGATGCCGCGCAGCCCAGCATCCTGCTGGTTGTGTTGAAAGGTTTGAAAGCTCGTTCCTACAATTCGCGCACCTTGGCAGGTGGCAACAGCCTTGGCGCTGCTTCGGCGAGCTAAGGCCTCTCCCTTTGAGCAGGTGCTTTAGCGTCGCAGCGTGCAGCCGTACCTGCCAAGATCTGCCGAGTGTCCTGAACGCCATACATCAGCATTCCTTCGCTGCCTTATGTTGGAGCGAGGTTGCCATGTCAAACTTCGTTGTCAATTTCGGAGCCGCTGATGGCGAATGTGGAGCTGAAGAGGCTGGCTGGCCTGCCAGGGCTTCTAATTGAGGGGTCGGGAGTCCAACGTAGCTGTGACTACATCAAGCGCGGTCCTTTTTATTGAAGCCTAGTGCTATAAGGGCAGCGACACGAAGATTTGGAGACAGCGTTTTGGGTTGGAAAACCAGATGGCCCTTCCAGTACTTAAGTTGTACTACCCGAGCACGAAAATCCAGCCGGTTGCCGGAGACGGCCGTTCCAGCACTAAAGTTGCACTACCGTAGAACGAAAATCCATCCGGCTGCTGGAGACGGCCCTTCGAGTATTAAATTTGTACGAACTAACAAAAAGAGAAAGGAGGCTCGCCACCACAGCTTGGAAAACGATAGGCCCAATAGGCCACTCACCAAAATCGAATGTGCAAGCCCCACTCAAGGAATTTAGACCGTGCCTCACATACGTTTTGTGATGTTTTATGCGCACCTGAGATTAAGAGCACCCTTTAATCCTGGCTGATGTGGCAGCCCCGTGACAAGCATCAGGATTGGAATGCCGACCCTGCGAATTGCCTCACAGCTCAAGGCGGGCCGCAACCCGCAATGCCTAGGGCCTAGCCAAGCTTCTACACGAGCATCCTTCTCTACTAGGCTCCTCGGCGCTCCTGGTTGAAGGAGATGAAAAGCTGCCCGGCCTGAACGGGTACTTCAGCAATCTGCAGCGGCTATGCTGCCCTAAGGTTCTTCGATACGCTGCGATCAAGATTTGGTACTCGAACCGACGTTGCCATGGTGCCGACGCTCCAGTTCATCTCAAGTCACGCCCTGCGAGTTAGGAGAAGTATCCTTTGCCAGAGCAGCGGCTGCCGCCCGTGGCCGTTTTGGTTCCTCTAGTCGCCTCGGACAGTTTGAAGTAGGCGGAAGTATGCAATCTTCGAATGGATCTGTGGTCGTCGACTAGTATTTGGAAGAACTTGACATCTACTGCAGTGATTGTGTATAGCAAGGTGCAGTCAAGCGTTTGTTGCATCAACACAGTAGGCTTTGCCATGCCGAGCGATTCGAACGACCTACTTTTCGAATACTGGTGGGGCAATCCTTCCAACGAGATCTTTCACGGTCACATCAAAGTTGCTGCATCTCCGGAAGCGTGTGTACAGGTCCAGGGTACTGATGGAAGACCGGAGGCATGTATGGCCTTAGCGACTTCTGTCCCCTGTCACATGTCAGCTCCTGAGTTTTGCGACTATGTGGGCGCATTTGGGGCGGAGACGCACCGGCGCTTTCGCCACTGCCGAGTCCTGCATGGACATAACAGTGAAGAATACCTGCTTGCCTTGCTGATGGCATCACAAGAGGATGTGTCATGGTTGGTGAATGAGTTTCATGGAAAGCCTTACAATGCAATTGAGGCCAGTGTTTGCAGCTTGCATGCCGTGCTGAGCAGTCAGACGGGATGTTTGGAGGATAATGCAAGCCCTAATGCAGATCGAGGACTCCTCAAGAGAAGGTCACCTATTTTACCACCTGCATTGCCGCAGCAGGCAGTTGACCATGACAGGTTCCATTCACTAGCGAGCTGTTCGGCATCTCCTTTGATGTTGCCGTCTTCCGCGCCTGCCCCGTTTGAGCGCAAGTCATCACCTTTAATGTCGCCGTGTTCCCAGCCAGACGTTCCAGAGCTGTTCATGGAAAGCGGACCTAGCAATCAGAGCGCTGTTTCTCCAACCCCGACAGCTTCGGGAAATGAGCGCTCCTATTGTGCAGTGTGTTTCGAAGCAGTTGACTCCAACCCAGCGGAATACCAACTGACTGAACTTGGTGGGGGTGTGCCGCTGACTATCTTATGCGGGCACACCTTTCATGCTCGTTGTTTGTCACGCTGGTGCGATAGCACCTGCCCGGTGTGCCGATTTCAACAGCATCCGTATCAAACATCGTCCTGTGATGTTTGTGGGCAAGTGGAGGGGGTGCACATTTGCCTGGTTTGTGGATTCATTGGTTGCACAGCACAGCCCGGCCAAGGGCATGCCCAACAGCACTTTGAAGCCACGTCCCATGCATATGCCCTGGATGTGAACACCCAGCATGTCTGGGACTATGCCGGAAATGGTTATGTGCACCGACTGCTGTACAATGATCAAGATGGTAAGATGGTGGAGCACTCAGTTCCACAGGATTCTGATGAGTCCTTGGGTATCTCGGCCCAGTCGATCTTTGGAGGGCTTCGATGGGCCGACATGGAGGACGATGACTGCGACAAGGCCAGTGCTTTTTCAGAGTTACGTCAATTTAGGAGTTTGGGGGTTCAATGAATCCGGCCAACTTCAAGTCCTGGTAGGTTTGAATGGTTACGCGCCCGCTAGTAGTTTGTGTTGCAGCACGCCTACTAGTTGCTGAGTGGGCAAGATCTTTTATCACCTCCCTTTTCCTATTCTCTGCCTCCTTGCCATGATGTAGTCGAAGCTGTGGAGTCCATTGATAAGCCTAAGAATCCAAAGAGATGCATGCAGATCGCAGCGCTCTTCACCCGAGCGTGACTTGACTTCAGCTGGCCGGCAGCGCAAGTTTCATTCTTCGCTGTTGTATGGTCATAACCAAAGACTCAATCAACAAGGTCCGCATCCAGCAGTTCCTCCGGGGCCAAGAAGCAGGCGCCAGCAGACTCCTCCCCAGATACCAGAAGCAGAGAGCCGCTCCTGCGAGGAAGCAATTGTGGGTGAGTTCAACAACCTGCTTTCGTCGCAATTGACGGCGGCTCGGAAACAGTGATCCGGATCAGCTGCACTAATCTGTGTTTGCGTTTGTGCAATGAAATTCCTTGTCAAGTGCAGTCTGCGTAGCCTGATAAATCCGTTGCAATGTGTGTGATTAGGGGTTGAGTTGTCATGATGTGTTTGGAAGGCTCAGCGGCAGCACTTTGATGAGCTGAGGACGGATCAATACTGGTAGCATGCTCTTCCACCCAATACCAACCTATGAACTAAGTCTTCGGTTTTGGCATGGTTGCGCGATCTGGGATATAACGGGCAAGAACAGTTGCCGAATGCTCTCAGTGCTGGCCCGAATGGAGAGCAGCCTTGCTCAAAATAACCTGCCATGACCCTGCTTTGGTCACCCTCCTGAAGTAGTGCTAGATTTGGTTAAGGGTCTTGCAGCAAGAACCAGTGCAGCTGCCAAGTAAGCAAGGTGCGAGCTTAGAGAGGTGTGCTATTTCATGCCACAGGCAGGACATTGAGAAGCAGGGGGCCATTGAAATTCAGGACATGGAGGCTGCCGCTGTGTTGACTGTGATCCAAGAGACTCCACTCGTAGGGCACAAGTTATGGTTGGGCCAATATCAAAGACTGCAGCACATCTGGCCAGGCGCAAGTCATGGCTGCAAAGCAAAATGCAGATGCTGTTGACAGGCACGTTTGTAACGAATTGGTTGTCTACCAACGCAGCGAGAAAGACTACTCGGTAACTAGCCTGTGTAGCTGAACTACGAGCTTTTATTTGGTGTCTGTTTTTTTTTCTGAGCCAGGGGTAAACTCCCCCAGGTACATGCCAACGTGAAATCACAACACTCATAGCTCATGGGTGCTGAGGCAGTTGGCTGGTGCTCAGCAGCAAAACGAGTTCTTGAGAAAAGAAATCTCAGATGCCGCGAATGCTGAGACTTTGGCCGAAAGCCCAGCCTGCGTCTCCATGCCATGCGACTTTGCCATACACAGCACTGCCATTTCTCGGCCAAGGCGCAGCGCCAGAAGGACCAGCTGGAACAACTTAACAGACGCCTCGCTGAAGACCAGCGAGCTTTCGAGGACGGCAGGGCACAGGGCACAGGGCACCCGGGACCTTCACATGCACCGCAATGCTTCATGTAGCGCATCGTAGCGCTGCTCGGGGCAGACAGCTTTGCTTCCGCAATGGGAGTCCCTGCAATGGCAGGATGCATATGCCGCTGTTGGCCCTGCAGTGAACGTGAAATGCTTTTTCTTGGCAGCCCATCTGGAGGACAAGCAGGAAGATACTGCGGAACGAAAGCGAAGTGAGCGTCAGCAAAGAGACCGTCTGGAAGCTAAGATCTGGGCAGTTGCACGTGATTTTGTTCGGTAATCTTTGCAAGGTAGGCAGACATGCCTTGGCTGCAAGGTGAAATAGCTGAGTTGCAGCAAGAAATCAAAGACCTTGAGCTGTTCCTACAAATGAGGCCAGGCGTGCTCAGAGCTGATGCCCATTCCAAGAGCCCTGTCAAAAAAGGAAATGATTGTAATCGCTGGCGCTTGTCCGCCTCGGCAGCCACGCTGCAAGTAGGGTAGGGGGGGTGGAAGGCTGGAAGGGGAGCTGAGACGCGCCGTGCAAAAAAAAAGTCGGAGAAAGCAAAAGACAGGATGGCCCCCCAGCGGCCCCCCCCCCCCCGGCCAGAATCCTGGGGGTCCAGAAACGAGCTTCGGCGCGGGTAGAAGTTTTTGCGGGACCAAAGGGGCCGGGAGCCAGAGGCCGAGGTGAAGTTTTCTTCAGCAGACAATGGAGGCCCCGACCTTCAACCCACGATCATCTCATGCCCCGGCAATTCCACTAGCACAGGAGTCTTCGTGGTTTCCATCTGCATCCTGCGGGCAGATTCAAGTGACTGGCAGATGGAGCTCGGAGAAGCACAGCAGGTGCACTGTCGGCGGCGATCTCACCACCAGCAACACATTCTGCAGTCGCAGCCGCAACTTGCAAGTTGGAAGCCTCCATCCCTACGGTCCTGGCGTTCCTGGCAACTGTTGCACATTTCTGTGAATATCTTCTGAATGGAGCGCTGGGGCCGAAGTCATGAGCCCTGGAACGTAGCAGTATATTACATTAACAGCCTCCCTGCTCCCTGCGTGGACATGGCCCCGGCCTCCGTAATTAGGGGTGTCCTGTTCTTTTCATGAGCTGGTGGATCTCCCGCGGCACCACTACTGGTAGTGATACGAGGAGCTTCACAAGCTGAGCCAACACTTCGCTTCTGAATTTTGTCGCTTTGGCGGATTGGATTCGGCAAATGATGCGGCAAACACATTGGGGGCGATGGTGCAATTACGTTCTGGGATTTACATTTTGCAATTACGATGAGGTTTTCAATGTGAGGTCGACATCAGAGAGGCCCCACGACTCTGCAAGGGCAGCTTCCTGTTCTTTCTGTGTACCAGATGAGCAATGACCCTGCCCGATGAAGCCCATCCCTTGCGAAACCATTCGATTCCTCGTGCCTGGAGGAATTGGCAAAGTCTCGGCCTGCACCATGCGCACACTCGGCTCAACAAGACAAACGGGAGGTGGACTGGCGCTAACGAGGTGGAGTTCGAGTCCCTGATGTTGCTAATACATGCCTGATGAACATGGCGAACCCATGCGAACCCTAAAACCATCCCTACTGAGTAGTTCTGCTGCTGCACGGGCCACCCCTGGCTTCGGAAGCCCCAAACGCGGAAGGACGTGACGATGCGGTGACCATTCCTCCCAAGACAGAAGGTATCAGGTATCACAAGAAGCCAGAAACGAGATTGTGAACCAGCTTCGCTAACGCATTCTCCACTTTCTGGGCCGCCTACAGCCGGTGGAGCCCGAAATGCAGAAGAACGTGTCAACGCAGACCTCCCGCACCTCAACAGGCCGGGGATTGGGTCTCTACAAGATTGCCCAACCTTTCTTGTCCGAAAGGGGCAGCCTCAGCCACGCTTGCAGCTTCGAGAAGTGTGCCAGCGTTTTTGTAATCATGGCATGCAGCATTTCTGTTATGGTATGGAGTGCATGCGTCATTCCATGGTAGCTTCACCTTCACGTTTGGCGAGCGTCGGTCTGTTCAGGCTCCGCGTTCAGTTGCTGTCAGTTGGGCCTCAGGGAGGGAGGGAGGAGAGGATTTCCATCTCCTCTAACCGTGACAGCCCCAAATTTCTCCGTGCCTATGAGAGTGGGGGACCGTCCAAAAAATTGACGGGACATACCCAACAACTTGACAATGTTGACTATGTTGACTACTTGTTTGCCGCGCATGCCATGCGCTCTGCGGACATTTTGTCTACGATGTCTAGAACAGCTAATTGTGTCAAGGTGTCAGAGGTTTTTGCCAACCCAGCTTGAATGTGACATGATTTCAAAGTACTGACATGTCTTATTGGAGGGTTCTGGTCTCCTGACTGTGTTCTTTGCAGAGAATACAGAGAGAACCAAGATATTTATGATTCTTGTAGTCTCATAAATTTTTTCCACAGCAACACAGCAAAGCACATCAGTCAGAGGCTCAGAATTGTGACCCCAGCGCACCCCTGCGCATATATGGAACCCTACCTGGAAAACGACTAACGTGCAATTCGTACAGCATCTAGGCTTTACTTTTTGATTGACATTACTTTGGGTGGCTCCTGACGGTTCAGAGCAGAGGCTTCACTGCGCTTTGCATGCAGTGGATTGCATTTAGAATCGAAATCAGGACTCTGGCCCCCAAAATCTAAACCACAACCCTACTGTACGCCCTAGATGCCCTATGTTCCCTAAACACGGTACCCATGGCCGCATCATCCAAACAACTGCGGCTACAAGGGGGTGGACCAGCCCTCCCAAGGCTACTTCCCCTTTTGAACCCTGACCCGATCCCTCCCCAGCTGCCTATTTCGCTGGCTTCAAGACATAAACGCAGGAAACGCAAGGAGCCGGCAGGAATCCTCAGGAAGGGAGGGGGTCCACCCACTCTCTCAAGAAAAAATTGCCCTTTTGAACACTGATCCGAGCCTCTCCAGCCGTCTATCTTTTGTGAGGAATACATGGAATACCTTGGAATACTCTCCGGCAGCATTCCTAGGAGGATATAGAGGGGATGGAAGGGGTACGTCTAAAGTCGATAGCCTGCACCCTTGGAACAGAATGCAGTACAGCTCAGCTTCCCTTGTACAGGGGCACGGTGCCTTGAATTTGACTTCTTGCTACAACTTTCGAGTTTTGGACTGGTGATCTGAAGGTGGTCCAAATGAAACAGAGATTTTCAATTGCGATGTCGGTACTAATCGGTTCCCCCTAGGTATTTTTGTGCCAACTCCCCCAACATTAAGTACTCATGGCGGAAAATCCCCGATTCCCTGACAACTATTGTTACAAGTGCCAAGACTACTTTAAAAAGGGCCCAACCGTATCCCCGCAATACCTAATTAGGGGAGGGACTGAGGACAGTAGTGCAGTAGGGCCGTTTTTCTTCGACTTTACTTAGAGATGTCAATTGATTTTACTTAGTTCGATCTCCGCTAGCTTTTTCTTAGATTGAATTAATTCCATTTCAAGTGATTTCAATCCGATGGTTTTCATTTTTGACCGATGTTATTGATATTTCAAGCGGATTTCCAGGGATTGAGTTAGGTTTAAGATTCTTTGCCCACCGATTTCCTTTGCACATGCTAGGCGACGCTGCGAAGCATCGGCAGATGTTGCAGAACTGCAGACCGCCCATCTGCTGGTCCGCCGACTTTTCATGTTGAGTCAGTTGCATCAGTTGCTTGCCTTGACGTGAGCCAGCAGCAGGTTACAGAAGCTGAGACGCGGCGGGGTCGAAGGAGCCGGCGGCGATGAACAAAAATCACAGTTCAACTGTTGTGCAGCCTTCTATATGTTGGCGCACTATTGATACGCACTGCGGCAAACCTTTTCGCAGGTCCTGCAGTTTATGCCGTTGGACAACGTGACTGACCTGCTGGCGCACCATCTGGCTACAATGCCGCTTTTAAGCCGCATTTGGTACACGAAGCGTTGAAGCGTTCATCCTTTCTGATTGACCACACCAGGTCTTCATCTTCATCGCCAGATCTGTTGAAGGCGGCAACTTTGGGATCTGGGTCTCCTCAACAGTTAGCAGATGCAGGTCGACGTTGATCACGCGGACTGCCTATTTATGCATGAGGCCTATCCATTTCAGTTACAGCATTCGGATCGTATCACATCTGAAATCTGTCAGGCCCTTCAAGTTATCCGCCCCAAGCTCATTCACGTTGAGTACATGCCGCAGGCAAGCCTAAGTTGCCAGCCACAAGCTGAGAAGGATATCTGAGCCAAATTGCGAAGGGAACTTATGCGACAGGCGCCTCCGCCTATCGAATATGTTCAGCTCTACCAGAATGCTTTGCTAAAGGCAACTGGGCATACTGGTCATTCGGCTGATGTTTGTTCGTTGACAGGTGGATTTGAATGGCCGAGCCGAGCCGCTTCTTCTCCAAGAACGTCTCTGGAAACCATCCGCTCAGTCGAAGACCTACACCTGCAGTAGATCGCAGCACGTGATCGCACAGCACTGCAGCAACATCGACACACGTTTCTGAAGTTGGTTTGTTTGTTGCGTGGTACGCTAGCATTTGAGTTGCTACACGATGCTTGACCTGCCGTGTGGCGTTTAGGGTAGGACGTGCAAGGAGCTTGGGACGAATCCGGCCTGCAAAGCAAAACTTGCTACTGGCAGCTCACTTCACGACCGAAATCTTTGTAAACGTTAAGTTGCCAGAAGGCCAGGATCCAGCAAGGAGATCTGAAATCACCGGGCTCTTTCTTTTTCATGGTGGCAGCCTGGTGGCACGCTCGATGTTACACGATGTTGCACGTTATGCCAGATCCCATTTAAACAATCATCATCACGGCGGAGAGTTGAAAGCATATGACGGTAGGCAGTGCCATATCCCAAGGGGAAAGGCCGAGCGCGCGGGTGCCCACAAAGAGGAAGCTCACACTTCCCCAAACCCTTGAAGGAAGGACATGAAAGACACACTGAAGCAAGGAGACGGCAGAATAGCGTCCTCGGCCCCCTCTGTCCTGTTGGACTCTGACTTTCGCTTTTCAAATGGCCCAGAAGCTTGAGGTTCATGTGGTCGGCAGAACAGCTGCAGAAGCTTGGACCCCAGCAGTTCTGTCACCTGCACTCTGCACCCTGAAGACCCTCTGGCCGTGCTGAGGAAGATGCCTGTTGATGAGCAAGCAGGCGCCAGAAAGATAGGTTTCTCGTGCTTTTCCTGCCTTCCTGCCTGGATCACGTCTAGAGACCACCCCCATGCCAATCAAAAGTGGTTTGCAGGTGGACGAGAAACTGACCGAATTCGGAGTGGAAGCGGCCGCGAGTCGAGTTCTTGGAGACACGGGCAATTGTGCAAGCAGACGGCCTGCTTACAAACAGGACATTCCGAGTGACTTAGTGAAACTCAGGATGACGGGATGTTCGCTGTCTGCTTTCCTTGTGCGTGCACCAGGTTGCCGCATGGTTTCAACTTAGGTGAACTTAGGTGCCTTGAATCTGATTCGAGGCTACTCTTTGTTGGCTGCCGGAGATGAGGAAGCACTGCTGGTCAGGAAAGACCTTCAGTCACTTTTCGGCCGCAGCACTCAGAAACGTGCGGCCCGAGCTTCAGGAAATAGCTTCTTCAAACCTACGCGCCTGAGGCAAACCGCCAGCTTTGCTAGCAAAGCTGCCATGTGTTGAGTTGTTGTAATGCGCATGTCAAGCTTGATACAGCAACGGCAGAGATGCGGGACTGGCCTGGGGTACAATGAGTCCATTTATGCTTTCGAGCCTGTCTGGTACTCGTGTCATCAGCAAGGTAAGCCCGGTAAGCAAGAATTTGTTTTTCCTCGTGTTTCCAATGACTCCGGGACAAGCTTTCGATCAAGTCGTAGCGAGCTGGCGGTTCTCCTGTGGATACTGCCGAATAAAAGAGAAACAACAACAAAGGCAGCCCATCGAGGCATGCAGATGCTTTTCTGTCATGCAATGCTTGGTGGCTTGGTGAGAGAAAAACTTTCAAGCACAGAGAAAGTCTCAGGGCAGATGCCGTTGACATCTCAAGGTCTAATGTGCCTGGGCCTGCCCTGCTCAGAGAGAGAAGTACCAGGGGCTCAGGGCTTCCCTGCAGCGTAGGCGAAACATAGGGCTCAACAACTCCTGTTTCAGGTTCGGCCCTTTGCGAGATGTTTCGGTTTAGAAGCTTCGACACGTGCGTCTTCAAAACTCCAACGTGAGCCTGCGGATTTTGATTCAAGCCTCAAATGACTATGTTCAGGGAGCTGGATTTTGTACCCGTCTCTCTCAGTCTCTCTCTCTCTCTCTCTCTCTCACACAAGTCAGCCACAAGGCCGCGCCCAGAAAGCCTGTCCTGCGATCTCAAAGTCAAAAAATCTCGCTCTCGCTCTCTCTCTCTCTCTTCCTGCTTTTGCCCTCAACCTAATAACTTCAAATGCTGACCTCCCACGCACACATGGCATGCTGGCCTCTGGCACGCGTTCATACAGCGATGGAACATCATGGAAGGTTGTTGTTTCTGTTGTTGATGTTGCCAGCATTGAACTTGCTGCTGCCGCCGCTGCGGCCGCTGCCGTCATTGTTGTGATTGCATCGTGATCGTGGTCATCGTCGTGCTGTTCACAACCACCGGTGCAGTGGTTGATTGGCAACGAGTGCAGGCTATGACTGCCTTCGCAAAGAACCCCTCGATCGAAGCATGTTTCCTACCGCTGTTAGCCAGCGATTGCATTTGCCTCGCATGTGGCGCAGGCACGGGAGTTTTGCTCGCAAGTATTTGGAATGCCCTTTTTGGTTGTTGAGCACGTCTTGTGTGCATCTCAAGGCAAAGCATTGCCTGCCAGGATGCTTGGCTCCGGGGTTCTTTCTGCAACCCTCGCAGGGTCAGCAACGCGCCTGGCTCACGGACCTTGGGCCCTGCGGTTTAGGTTCCAACATATATTCCAACGTGGGTTGGCGAACTGAGAGGGTGTGATGATGATCGTAAGGCCAGATTACGCGTCTTGGGGCTTCGACTTTCGCATCTTGGTCTGGGACTTGCTGTGGATGCTTTGCCAGACTTAGCATTGTGGCATCTAGGTGGGAGGTGGAGATACTTCCAGTATACGCGAAATGCCGCTAGTTGATGTTGAAGTTTGCCTTGCAGTGCTGTTGAGAGGCATCGACAGCAAACACTTAACAGCATGAACAAAAATGTGCGCTCAGGCAGACATGACGGTGCCTGTAGAAGTGCGGTGCCAGCAGCTGGATCAGTTGCTGAAGGCCTGCAGCACAACATGCGATGGCTTTCCAGCATCCGAAGTGGAACCAGGCCCATGGAGCCAGCGCCTTCTCCCTCATTGTGGGAAGAGAGTCCTGAGAGCTGAATCCTGACATGGGCACCGTGGGCGACCTGACGTGTCTCACTCTGACTGCCCGCTGAATAGTGGCCTGGTATGTTTCCAAACATCTTGTGCCTCCACGTTTAAGGAGCTCGGCTGCGATAGTGCAGATCGTCGTTGCGAGCTTTGTTCAAGGTCCTTGATGGTATTAGATGACATGCAGCTGGCTTGGCCCAAGCAGCAGATAACTGTTGATTTCTGTTGGCTCTCAATGCCATGATGACGGAGTCGGGGACTTGCCGCTGAACAGCTGCTTCATGAGTTCGGACTATGATGCATGAATGCATTCCAAAGCTTGCGAAATTACAGTAGCCATCCACTTTCGCGGACTTCTTGTTCCATGACTTAATTTGCGGGGCACACCTGTGTAAGTCTTTCGTTCGCGCGGGACTGAAACTAGAGACAAGACAGGTATGAGTTCAGATGGGTCACGGTTCACCGGGCATACCTAAATCTGCTATGTTGGGAGCGACTGTGCACTTAGGCTGATATGGCTGACCACTGCTGCAAAGGCGCTGCGTGGTTGTACATGTTAGGCCCTAGGCTTTGCAGAGGTGCAGTGTTTGCGATGGCAGGAAGTTTTGTCTGCATCAGCACAGCTTCTGGGAGGGCAGGTCAAAGCCTCGATATTTGCAAGAGCTCACCATATTTCACGTCCATCCAACAGAAGCAAGACTGTTAAGGTCCCGTGCCCACCGGCTGCGCTTGCAGCTGCCTTGCAGAAGGTGGGTTTTTCTACGGACAGCAGCCTTACTCGTCCTTATGGCGGCACAAGCAGCAGGCGGAAGGCAACGCATCTCTCGGCTTATTGGGCGATGCGGAACTCCGGAACAGTTTTGCGAATCTGGGCCAAACTTCTGCAACATCAGCTGACCATAGTTGACCTTGCTGAGCTGGCATGCTTCTCTCATAGTGTTGTGTTTCTATCCTAGGTACATGCCCAATTTGCAACTGTTGTCCTAGCAGTGTCACTTCATGTGCAGCCCTTGTTGGCCTTTTCAGAGTCTTTTGGGTAACCAATGACGAGTAGATTGGCCATCCAGTATGAGATACGACACAGTCTATCTGCAATCTTCCCACTTCAGATGTTTGAGAGACAGTGTATGGCTGCGGCTTCAAACATCCATTGCAAATGCAAAAGTTCCCTCTGCCCCATTTTCCACAAGTTGTCCAGAGCTGGCAGACAAGCGCCCCTGTCGGCTAAGGAAGGCACTTGAGAGTCGCGCTCTCAGCGCGTTGACGCTACAAAGCTGTCTTGTTGCAAACCTAATATGTCAGTTTATGTGCCTGTGTTTTGAGGGAGACTGAACCAGGCAAATGTGCAGTCGAGGGAGAAGAGTATCGGCGTTTAAAGCAACCAGGATGGTTGAAATCAGTGCCCGCCCTGCCATGCGAACAATCTTTCTGCAGGGTGAAGTGTTGTGGAGCAATAGTGTTGTTCGTACCATTTCGTACCGACAGGTTCGCAGATGCCGATGCATTTTTTGATCCCCTGGCCAAGCTACAGAAGTATCCTCATGAGAGTCTCTCATGAGCATCCTCACTGTTCGAGCTTCAGCTCCATGCAGTTGACCCGAACAGTTCTTGGCGGCGAAGGGGTCAGTGTCTGCTTGCTTAGCCACCCCGCTTACGCTGTTGTCAGAAAGTCCTGAACCATCCTGAATTTCGGAGACTCCTCGAGGCCCGACCTGTGATCCCTTGAAAAGTCCTTGCAAACATGCTGGAACAGCACGCAAGCAAGCGCAATTTGCCCCGAGTGCGGATGACACCTCACGTTCCAGCAACCGCTGTCCAAGTTCTTGATGAGATTTGCTTACAATCAGCAAAGGTAGAATGCCACAGCACTCGCAAAAGGTCACGTCTGACTGTGTCTGACTAGTGCATATGCAGTGAACAAGAGATTGCGAAGTGTTCGTCACGAATGTTGGCAGGCAGGAACAGTGTAGAATCTGCATTTAGACAGCTTTTCTTTGTTCGCTGCTCTGTGGGAGCATCCTTTGGGAGAGAACTTGTGAGGAAGTTCGATTAAAAAGGTAATCGACCAGCATTGCGCAATTGGCTCGTGCTGACTCCGATTTCCTTCCGAAAGGTTTTGGGAACTTCTGTCCAGCTTGTTGCTTCTGAGGGCACACACATGCCCTGACTAATCTGCACCATGCAAGAGGAATTTCAACTCTACAGGTCCCAGTGGCTTCCAGGAGCTCAACACTGAGCCGCTTGGCAATCGGTCTTCTCTGCCCCGTGGCCCAGATTTTGAGCCGCTAGCTTTTGTCTGCTCCCAGGTCCGGTTCGCAACTGGTGGACCTGTTTGCCAAGGCGCTTATCGCAGGATCGCATTGTTTTGCTTGCCGCTGATCTCCCCCTGTAGGTTCTGCAGGATAAGCTCCAATCTATAAAAGTCAAGGCGAAGGAGTTCATGAAAAAGCTTCCTACGGCAGGTGTCAGTCTGAGCAATGCAGGACGTGCCAGGTCGAGTTCAGAAGTCCGCTCAAGCGCCTGCCAGGTGCAGCAAGCTATGCAGCGGTTCTCGAAGCCTGCAAGAAGGATTCGCTGCCGCAGGCAATCATGCCCATCTGTGCCAGACAGGAATTGCTAGAGGATGCTTCACCTGCTACTGCTACTCGCTACCGTCGCTACCGTAGCTCTGACATGACAAACATCAATGCATTGGGCAACACAGCCAGGGGCCGAAACGGTTCAAGACATGCTTGCAATCAGGTTCTCCAAAGAGACTGGGTCCTCTGGCATTCGGTTGGGAGCGGCCACTATCCGAAGGATGCGCTTGGATGTTCTTGAACGATTCCCTCAACACTTGGATGAACTTGATTTGCAGGACGTGCCAGCTCTGCCTGCCGCTGTGGCTTCCAAGCTGAACACGGCATACCATTCTGACTCACATGTTTTGGCATGCCGGGAAACATCGTCTCATCGTAGCGCGCGTGCCTGTCAGCGGAAGCGCTCAGGTGAATGAGCGGATCGCGCGCCTGGCGCATGGAACTGCTTTAGCTTGTATACGCTTAGCGCCGGGATGGCGCTGAAATATGCAGGTGCTTGCATAGGCGGCAATGATGCGGTAAAGCTTGATTCTAGCGAGTTGTGGAACTGCTGTTGTCTAAGACATACTTGTGCCGTCCAAGTTCTGGCTTGCGTTGGTGACAGCCCTCTTGCAGACATTGCGAGCTGCTCAGACTGACTGTGCTGCACCACGAGCTGTGAGTTGCTTAAGCTAGTGAGGTCGTCAAGTCGCATGTTCTTGAACATTTGGACAAGTGCTCTCATGTTTGAAGCAACTGGGACTAGTACTGGTAGTTACACAGATTGAAGTGGCAAGCCTCTAAGCGCAGGTACCAGTCCTGGGAAGCATCCATGACCTCGAGTAAACCGCAGGCAAGGCGCAGGGATACGCAAAACTGCTGGCTGATGTTTCCCCATTCGCATGATGCGTGTAAGGCGCCCTCCAGTGGCGTCAAGACTCCTTTTGAGGCAAGCGTTGCCAAGCAGGTGCCTGGGTCGCAGGATGAACCTCATCAGCGCTGGTTCAGAACATTTGCATGTGCAGCAATTGAATCTGCAATTGATCACGTGCTAATGCTGACCGAGGTCTCTCTGCGCCGCGCCCTCTCACAAGCCTTCCCTGTCGACGTCGCAACAAAGGCCTCCGAGGCAACGATGCGGCCAGCTGTCGGAGACATGCGTAGAAATTTAAGACGGAAGTTCTGTTTTCCAGGCTGATGGTGGATACACAGCGGCCCTGAAGTCGCTTGCTGCCAAAGCACGAGCTTCTGCGGTTCTGCCAAAGTGCCTCAGCTATCCTCAGCCTGTCCGGTCTTACTTGTTGCGCGCATGCGTTGCGACAGAGGTATGTGGTGCCAAAGGACTGTTTGATCCCAACCGGGGTGGCACGCTGCATGAGCAACAACATGAATAGCTTCAGCGCAACGACGCATGCATGGCATCTTGCAGGATGCAGCAGACAAGGAGCCTGGAAAGAAACGCAAGGCCCCGCCTCCGCTTCACCTTGCTTCCTGTTGCGCGGAGAGATACAGAATCTAGAAGCTGGCACTGAGCATCTTGCAAAAGACTCGGAACAATATGGAGAGGCAGACTCCGCGGCTCCTGGAGGCTGGACACTGTTTTTAAAGCCATGGCAAGCCTAGGCATGCTACTACATGCTGAACTGTGGTTGCCCCCGCCCTGCCCACTGCTGGATACCTGCTTGCCAAGAAGCCCTGAAATGCATGGAGTGCTCAGGGTGTGCGATCCCTTGTTTCTAGGAGGGCTTACGCAAGCTGCGCACGAAGCATTCAGCTGGGGTGGGCCTGCCCCCAATCCAAACTGGCTTTCTTCGTTTGCCCAGTTGTACCGAGCCTTGATGAATTTGCACGTGCGAGATGCAGATGAAGCATCAACATCTGGAAATGTGCAGAGAAGAGAGCTGTTGACCGGCTACAGCCGCCAAGCTGCAATCAGGAGGTTTCGCCGCGCTGCACAAGTCCACCGAAAGCCAGGAGTATCGGTGGCACATGTTGGCAAGGGACTCTACTTGCCCTGCTTCGCATGCTTGTGCAGTCAAGCAGTGTGAGGCTTACAGCATCAATCCTCAGACTACGCTTGGAGCGTCGGTGTCAAAGGGAAGCAAGCTCGGCAGCAGCCGGACGGAGGCACTTGGAGGCTTCACGTTGCTCGATTGGCAGTGACACCTGTGCAGGCTTCCTCGGCGGCACCGGGTGCAGCTTCTGAAAGCAAACCAGCAGGCTGACTGGGACAAGATTTGGAAGTACAGCAGCGGGTGCAGTAGCAATGCTTTGCGGTCATTTTTCCATTGCGCTGACTCTGTGCAGTGTCATTTGACGTGCGAGTCGGCTCCTGCATGTGAGCAGACAGCAAGTACAAAGCAGCTAAAACGTGCTCTGTCTCATCGTGAGCACCAGCTTGTCTGCTCTTAGCTGCCAGTCTCCATGAGGAGTCTTTCAGTTTTGTAGCCGGCAGTACTTGTATACTAGCACCAGTACTAGTATACTAGTAGTGCTGGTAGTACAAGCAGTACAAATAGTAGCACAAGCAGTACAAGTAGTACAAGAAGTGTAGCAGCAGTAGTGGTGTGGTGGTGGTGGTGGTGGTGGTGGTGGTGGTGGTGGTGGTGGTGGTGGTCGTAGTAGTAGT